TGCTTGCGAGCACGCTTGGTGACTGACATCGGCATGGCACCACCGGGGGCGGGTGGGGGGGAAAAAAAAAAAAAAAAGACCCGCGCGTCATTGTCTTCGGCTCGCGGGTCGGCATCGTCAACACCATCCACCGGTCACTGGCCGATGCGGGCTACGCGTCCATGCCCCTACATGGGGATTTGATGCAGGGCGAGCGCGAGCGCGCGATCCGGGCTTTCCGGCTTCGCTCTGCCTCCGGGACATTGGCCCCCTGCCGGGTGCTGGTGGCCACAGATGTGGCCGCCCGTGGGTTGGACATTCCCGGTGTGACGGCGGTCGTGTCGTTCGACGCTCCAGGAGGTGGTGCTGGCACGGCGGCCGCCGTGGATGCCTTCGTACATCGGGTGGGCCGAACCGGCCGGGCCGGGCGCGCTGGCCGGGCCATCAGCCTGCTGATTCCCTCGCGTGAGGGGCGCTTTGCCACCGAGTTGGCCCGGTGGTTCCAGGCGCACAATTCCCCCTCCGATGGGGGAGCCTCTGGCACTCCGGAGCCCGCGGTCCCGGAAGCGCTACTGCCCTTCCTGAATGCTGGCGCCGACGGCCCACGGCGGCGCGGCCTCGGCTACCGAGAGCGTGGCGGTCGTGGCGGCGGCCGCGGCCGTGGTGGGGACTTCCACCGCGGCGGTGGTGGTGGTGGTCATCATCATCACAGCGGCCATGGCAACACCAACAGCTACAGCCATGGCGGCCACGGCAACAGCAATGACTATCATCGCGGGGGCGGCGGCGCCAGCGGTGGGCATCCCTCCCATGGTGGCCCCGCCCATCGCCCTCAGCACAACAATCACTACCGGGATGGTCGTGCCGGCGGAGGACCTCCAGGCCGCTGGTAGGTAATATCCCAGGAGTCCCCCCGCTCTCGAGAACAATAGACCGATTACTTTGCGCTGAAGAGGAGAAAGGATCAAACAACAGGAGGGCAGGCGTAGGGGGGGGGGGGGGGGGGGATTTGTGGGAATATATTTAAGAAGGAAAAAGAAGGACCGCTCATCCGACACCGGGTCTCCCCTGCCGCCCGTGCTTGCTCTCCGGGCAGGGGGGGGAGGGGGGGGGGCAAAAGGCAAACGGAGTGAGGCGCCTTGCGCGATCCAACCCCGGGCGAACAAGAAGCCTGGGGACGCGGGGGACAGGGATTGAGGACAGGGCACACGTGCCGGGCAACGACCAGCACGAACATCGGGGGAGGAGGAAAAGGGAGGAATTGCAAAATCTCGCGAGGTAACACAGCCAGACGTCGATGCCGCCTCCTCCTCGCCCCGCCCCCCCCCCTCTCGCTCCCGCTCCCCTACCGGCACTTGCTTCCCGGCCTTTGGTACATGCACGCAAAGGAAAGGCGAAGGGGGAGAGGGGGAGAGGGAGAGAGAGAGAGAGAGAGAGAGGGCGAGAAGAGGGCGAGAAGAGGGCGAGAAGAGGGCGAGAAGAGGAAGAGAAGGATATGATGCACAAGCACCATTAGACCTCCTCCTCGCCAACACGGATGGCGCGCTTGCCGGCACCCACACCAGCAACAGACTGCTGGAGGAGACGCTGCTGGCGGCGCGTGCACTCGGTCACCGACGAAGACACCAGCGCGTAGGGGATATGCTCGTCGACATAATCCGCCGGGACATAGGTCGACAGCTGGGCGAACTGGCTGATGAGGATGTACATGACATCGATCTCGCGCGCGGTCTTGGACGGGGCCCCGGAGCCAGTGGTCACAGGAATCTGCTGGCCATGCACGTTCAGGTCCTCCGGGCTGGAGATGAGAGTCCGCGAGCCGGCCCCCGAGGCCAGGTGCATCAGCAGCGCGGCCGAGGTCTCCACGAAGGCCAGGTGCGACCGGGCAATGGCGGTCTCACGGTCAGCCACCGAGGCCGAAGTCTGCGACACGGTGGCCGTCAGCAGCTTGGCCAGGACCAGCGGCAGGTAGCCGGCATTGTTGTCGAAGGCATTGAGCGACGGGTTGAAGGAAGTCACGCCCAGGTCGCTGGAAGAGCTGCTGGCGGCCGAGGCACCGGCACCACTGGTCGACAGCGAGGCAGTCGCCGCGAACAGGGGGAGCAGGGCAACAAAGAGGTTGGGCAGTTGCGACCAGATGGAATGGTCGAGGGCATGGTCGCCTGGAGAAATGGAGCGGGGCGGGGCGGGGCGGGGCGGGGGGAGGGGGACAAGACAAGGGATGGGAAGAGCGGATGGTAAGCAAGTTGGATGAACAGTCATGCGTG